AAGAAAGAAAGAGGGAGAGAGAAAAGGGACGCTCAGGAAAGACGGAGAGCCAAGGCTTTTAAGAGGCTCTCGGTAACTGAGCTAATGGGTTCTTTTATTCCTTGTTTCTGTCGTTCATTCACACGCTCCCTTTACACACTCTGTCCCTTCGTGCTAGCTTCTGTCCCGAATGGAGGAGGAGGAGGAGGGGGTGCAGAGAAAGAGGGCAAAGAATATAAACATCCTTGTTTCTATCACTCCTCAAGTGTACTCTTCTATTCAATTATTATGTTACACAACAGTTGGTGGTTAATGGATTTCTCCAAAATGACAACAAGTGGTTAAACAAATAATTGTTTAGCTTTTTTCACTATTTTTAACAATCAATTAAATAATATTACAGTGAAAATCTGTTAATCACGACTATATGACACAAATACAGCACATCCTCATGTTTGAGAAGCTGGGACTTTCTGCTTAAATTATGAATATAACAATGAACCGTTTCAAATATGTCTGCAACTAACAACTGCTTTCATCATTTCCCGGGGCCAAAGGTTATGTCTTCAAAAGTCTTGTTTGGTCTGATCAATAGTCTGGAAGTTTCAGTGTTTCAGTTGCTGTTATAACAAGAGAAAGAAAAGCAGCAAATCCTCACATTTGAAAATCAATGTTTATAATGCATCTGCTCTCAGTCCAGTAGTCTTGTTGCTCAACAACTGATCATGAATACAAGTGCAGTTAAATGTTTTTGTATCCCATTATCATTTGTATCTGTATAAGGTAGTAGGTTATGTACAAAACGTTAACAGGAAACACTCCTCTTCACAGGAAGAGGAAAGTGACTGAAACATAAGAAACCCTTAAAAAAGGGTTTCTATGGTTTTCACACATTTAAATACTAAAAATGCACCGAAACCACCTACGCTGCCCTGTTGTGGTCGCATCTGCACAATGTGTGAAGCAGATTACTCAAATTTAAACAGCTGATGGACATCTGTAGATGCTCACTTGCACTTGTGTCAAAAGTTCAACCAGTTTCTGCTTTTCTGACCGTGACATGACATGAAAATACTGCAGCTCGGTCAGCCCAGGTCATCTGCCCACTCTGGTTTTATTGAATTACGCTGGATTTTATCTGTAACACAAATGTCAATTCATAGCACCTCGCTCGAGTGCTTCTATCTCTCATTTGGCCGCAGAATTACAAGCACAAACGATTGAAATAATACGAAATCTTTTTCGTGTCGCACCCGGTCCGTCCACACTATTTCTACCTTTTGATCCCCTTCTGTTTCCTACTTCCTATCAGTCAGGGGAGTTAAACAGCATGACTGAGTTGGCCAGTTTCCTGTGAACGCTCGACTTCCACTGCCACAAACACATAGACACAGGGCGTTGCCCCCCCCCCAAAAGCCCAGTGCCGACTTCACAGACCCCCTTCAGGGTGCGACCGAGTCATGTGCGCTCTCAGACACATTTCTTCACAATGACTTGACTTGGCCTAAAATGACTCGAGGATGCCAGGGCAGTTACTGGGCAGAGGGAGAGAGACAGATGGAGAGACAATGAAAAAGAAGATTAGAAAGAGACAAGAAAAATAAATTAAAATGCCAAGAGAGACAGAAAGAGCACTAGAGAGGTGGATGGAGGTAGAGAGAGGTAAAAAGAGAGACGTAGTTGTTAGCGAGTCTAACCTACTTTCTGTCTGCTGGCTGAATAAGTCAGCATCGCTGTACTTCCCTGGCACACTGAATAATTCACACACACACACACAGAAACACACACACAAAAACACACACACAGAAAGAAACACATTCTCTTTCTTGAACTCAGCAGTAAGCACTGATTGGCAGAAAATATGCTCTTCGTGCAAAAGCGGTGGGGAAAAAAGGTATTTGTGAGTGTGTGTGTGTGTGTTGCCAGGAAGTGGGGGTGTCGAGCGCTACTGGCAGAGAGGCTGTACCGACGGTCACCTTCCACGCAGACACACACACACGAGCTAAAATAGGTCACCCCTTACAATGCTCTCAGAAAAATCCATCTCCCGCACTGCGAGCATGCAGGGAAAAAGATGCACTGCTACAGCACAGAGACTAAAAGGGTCTGTCGCTCTGCTTCTCTTCCTCTGTCGACTCAATAAGCTTGATTGACGTTCTCGCTGCTTTTCTTTCTCTCCGTGTGGCATTAGTGTCCCGAATCAGCAAAAAAAAAAAAAAAGAGTCATATTTAGCACTACAGAAATATGTGACTGCGCCAAATGTTTTGAATGAATTATGTGTTATATAATGAAGTGAATGAAAAGGTGTGTGGTTGTGAATGGAAGGGGTGATGATACAAACAGCCGCAGCATTAAAAGGAGCAGTTTGACCTTTTGGGATGTCTTTCTTGCTGAGTGTTGAGATACCACTCTCACATCTGTATGCTTATTAATACGTGCTTAATACGCTAGCTTAGCTCTGCATAAAGACTGTAAACCAGTGCCGTTTACAGTTTACAGTTTACAGGAAGTTACCGCTCCCAGCCAAGAAAGTAGCAACACAAATTGCAAGATAAGCATATTCCCCAATGTGTAAAGTTCTAGAAGTGTTTTGATTAACAAAGTAATGAGACGAGAGTCATTCTGTCAGGTGTTTTTTTTTTTTTTTTTTTTTTTTTTTTTTTATTTTTTGTTTCTCCACTGTTAGTTTAAACATGAGCTACTAATCAAGCTCAATCCTAAGGAAATAATCTGAAACCCCCACCTGACCTAGATGAGTCAGGGGGGTCCCAGTGTGTGTTTGTGTGTGTGTGTACCTCCTCATTAGCTAAAGATCCCAACAAAGATAATGTCAGACAATTAGCATCAGTTACCAAGCTGTATACACACGTGCAAACATGCACACACTCATGCATTGTGCAGTCATTTCCACTTTATGGCTACTGGCCAATATAGGTCACTGGAGCACTGATGAGTTTGTTACACACACACAGCACACAGCACAGCCACACACCATCAGTGGCGGAAAACAGAAATTCAAACAAACAAGTGAGTTCATCCAGGAATAAAAAGCATCCAAAAAACTTTAAAACCAATAACCGAAAATGAATATATTAATTGCAAGTTCAAGTAAGATCATTGCCTTCAGTCAGTGTTTTTGAGGCAACCCATCTTGTCTGTTATTTGCGCTAGTAGGAGGACTTAAAATGGACTCAAAAACCAAAATCATCTTCAGATTTAGTTTAAAATCTAAAAATTACGGGGCAGTAAGATAAGGCTTGTAAACACATCATAATGAGTACCTACTGAATGCAGTTGACGAGTTGACATCATTTCTTGCGTTAAAAATAAACAATGGTTTCATGAACATGACACCATAATTATAACAGTTTGTAACATCCTAAAATTTGAATCTTTTATTGGTGATCTCAATCAACTTTTAATTTAACTTCTGTCCCAAAATCAAACAGCCTTTCTTTAATATTCCACGTTTTGACACTTGAATAATGGATCTGCTCATCCTCTTGTTTAAAAAGCATAAGTGATCTCAAATGTCGATCTAGATTATGAAGAGAGGAAGACATGCGGTTTCTTTCTCTTTTTTTTTCAAACTCTCTTTTTTCAAATCTTTGCAAAGCAATAAAAAGGATGGGCAGAATTTAAAAAAACTCTATGAAAAAAAACAGGCCTTTGTAATACTTTAAGCCATTCACTCAAGGACCCATTTCTTTTTCTTCATTATTATCGTGTTTTTGATACAGCGCTTCGATGACAGAAAAAAAAAAACTTAAACCGCCCTCCAAAGTGATTTAGATACGCTTCCAACCACTTGATTAACTTGAATTTTCTCAATTAGCCCTGAATTGTAACTTTCTTTTGTTCACCCCCATTTACTTTACTCCCTCTTAATTCCTTTTTGTTTAATCTTTTGGGGACAACGACAGGGCAAACAACAAAGCCATTGAAACTGTTGCATTGTTCAGCTTCCCTGCATTTAATTTAAAGTGCAGGTTGAAGGATGATAACAAGAAAAGGGCATGGCAGGCAAGCAAAGCAGCAGCAGCAGCAGCAGCAGCAGGGGAATGGGTTTTTCCAGTCAGTTTGAAACAGACCAGGTTGTCTTGTGGCTGCAGTGCAATCTGATTTACTGAGGCTGCTGGGGGGGATGTCGAAATTGGCATCTCTGCTTATTCTACAACGATTTTCTGCCTGTGTCGCTGTTGGAAAATTGTTGGCTTTACAGGGAAACGGTATCTCTTTGATATTTAGGGATTTACAATAAAGTCTGTTTACAGCTGATTTCTTTCTGTATCTGAAAATATTCCCAATTCTGCTGTGCTACAGCTGCACTAGAACCTATTAGAAAATGTCTGTTTTTGCATGGATTCTTCCTTTAATATAGAGAGATACACTAGTATACACTACTGTTAATCATTAACAGTTTGTCTCCTTTCTGTGTTCCTAAGCCTCCCTCCCTCCCTTCACACACCAATCAATGCGACTAAAAGAGAGAATATTCTCAGGTAGATCTGAGCATTTCGTTTCCTCGCTCTCAACTCTCAGCTGCAGTCTTCTGCTTTGTATTGCTCATTTATCCACAGTCGAAGGACAACAATAAAATGTGAGGCCAAAACATTTTCAAAACAAGATTTTTTTTTAAATCAACGCAACCAACCTGGTGGCAATGCGGCAGAGGTAGCAGTGACTGGTCAAGGCCAACATTAATGAAAGAATGGTGCTTTTGTAAAAAAAAACGCCCATTCCGTGTTATTGTGTGCAGTTGGCAGTAAACAATTGTTGGTTGCTTGTGCTGTGGATTTCACCTGAACTATGCAGCTACTTTAGCTTGGCAATATGGTTGAAATCAGTAATGATATTAAAGATATTATTGATATATGTCACAGTATGGGAAATGCATCATCAAACTGATGTTCAAAGCAGTGTGTTATATTACTATGTATTATATAAGGCCCAACAAAATATGTATAAAACACAAACAAGAAGTGGACCTTGAGTGAAGATTCTTTTTCCCAAAGTAATGTTTTCATGGTCAAGAATGAACTTTTACACTCTACCTACTAACTACCAAACACAACACAATGTGACTTTACAGGATTATGGTGTTCATATTTGCATTAATGTTTGTGGAACCATACTAGCTGGTGCTGAGAGCTTTTTGCAGCATCTGTGACTGAAACTGGTTTTTCGTTTTCTTCATATGGATTAACTCTTTTTATTAGTAAAATTCATGACTAACTATGAAAATAAAAACAAAGTACAGTAGGTCACCTACATTTGTTACACCTTATAAATATCAGGTTGAATTTGAATTTTGTTTTGCTCATAATATATCCCATGAATCCCCCCTTTAACCCAATATCTAGCTTTCCCCAGATAAAAGTATCATCATTTAAAATATCATTCTGTGATCATTTAAACAGAAATATGCAGAAAATGGAATTAAACTTGAATGTTATTTCTGAAGGTAAGAGATAATCTCATCAATAGTACCATTTTTGGTGGGTGTAAAACTAATGCACGGAGTGAAGTCAAATCAATACAATTACAAATGAATGAATTCGTAAGTAGCCAAACTGTAATTTTAAGAGTGTAAAGGCCTAAAAGGTTGGCATGGCTGGTACTTAAAGTGCTCCTGAGTTTATTGTCACCACAGACCCAGAGGTGTTCTTCATTCTGTGTGTGTGCAGCCTGCAGAGTTGTGCAGCTGGCTGTATCTGTACAGCAGAGTCCTACAAACAAACACCAGGAGGCCTTTGCTCTCCCCAACCTCCTGCTGACAATGGACATTGTTTTGGAGACAGCTTGAGCCAGAAAGACTGAGAGGAGGCTGGAGGTGGGTGGACTGGGTGAGAGAGCGAGAGAGATAGGAGGGAGCAGCGGATTTATCCTGTGCAGGACTGCTGTTTGTGCACATTAAGTTATGAGGCTTCTAGGCCTGTAGGGGGGCAGAGGTTGTGTGTTTGTGTGTGTGAGGGGAGTGTATGTGGACACAGAGATAAGGTGGCACTCTGGAAAGGCTTGTGAGAAGACAGAGCTTCTGTCAGCCCACTGATGTTGAGACAGGGCAGACTGACTCACAAACACACACAATCAGCATTAAAACAGGTGCAGGGAAGGGAAACGCACTGTAACAGACACACACAGGCAGAATCCAGTCTGCCATGAGGGGCCTGATTATGGCAGGGCAAGGTGTCGGGGGACCACAGTGGCAGAGAGGAAGAGTCGAAAACAGAAGAAGGGAGAATAATGGAGATATAATGGTGAGCGTTAGAGCGGTGGGATGAGAGAACAGTGTGGCAGAGAAAAGGAAGCCAGCCCGGAGGGAGGCGAAACAGACAACCTTGAGATAATCTGTGGGACGGGCGGAGGGAGAAAAATAACCTTATCAGGGCAGGAAAACAGAAGGCACACTGCGCGGTAAGAGGATATGAAAAAACAAAAGCCAGGGCAAGGAAAGGGAGAGAAACAACAGATATAAGAGAAAAGGTAAAAATGTAGGAGTTAAAAAGCTGGAGGAGGAAACTAAACACAAAGAGGACTAAATAACAAAAATAAATTATACTAACCGAAGCCGATGAGGCCTAGGGTTTCGCCACGGATGCGGGCAGCGCCTGATGCCACCTCGCGGATCTGCTCCACGCTCTGGACCCGCGTGCCCTCCCGGAGAGCCTGGTAGAGCCAGGTGTTTCGCCGGTAAAGGTTGAGGATGTGGCACAGGGTGGAGTCTGCTGTCTCCTCCACAGCTGCTGAGGGGATGTTACACACAGCGATGCCTAAAGAAAGAACAACATGCACACACGAGGCAGAACAGTAAATTCATCTCGACAAAAATCATAACTATAAAATATGTATCATCGCTTGGCAAATGTATGCAAAACTACATATCCAAAAGTAGCTCTAAAAGTTGCAACACATATGAAACAAAAACTTGAATAACTAATTGGGGTTATTTTAAATTACTGTTTGCCTAGAATCTCTAATTTAGGCGACATAATTTTGTTCAATCACACTATATTGATCATATCATCATAATATGATCCCACTGAAAGTCAAGATAAGGTTTATTGAATAAATTATGGCAGAGCCCTATTCTATCTAAAGTTAGCTGCTCAATAAAGCAAGTTTTAGACACTTTCTGTCAAGATCTCCTCCAGTAGAATAATTTTGTTGCCAGCAGGGAATTCAAACCCCTGACCTTGTGGTATTACCTTGCCTATCCTCCAACAACACAAAGATTTCCATTATCGACACTTAAGCACTTCTGCCTGCCCTCGTTCTCCTCTAATGTCCTCATCCCACTCTGTATCTCAGAGTAGCAGCACAGCCGTCTCTGGACAGCAAAAAATAGCCAGAGCCCGCTCAATCAATGCCCCCTTTTCTTCTCCCCGAGAACAGCCGCCATATCAGCGCCGCCTTCTCTAGGCACGATAGCTTTTGACTCCTGCGTTGCGAGGCAGAGCGCCTTCAGTGAGTGGGTGGCAGTTAGACACAGTATCTCGCATTGGCAGGGAAATGGCAGCTTTGTCAACTGTAAGGGCTGTTTGAGCCACCAGCCTGCTGATATAAGCCTGGGTGGTGGTTCAGAGAGAAGACTGAACTCCCTTTTCTCTCTCTGTGTCTTTCCCTTTTTGTCTCTTTGAACATTTTGGCTCACAGTGGGATGTCCACCCTTCATCTGACTCTTTAATTCAGTCTTTGATACTGTTCTGAAAATCCATACAGTAAAAAAAAAAAAAACGAGGAAACAGTAAACATGAAGCAGCCCCCCTTTAGGCAAAATCACTATCAAATGTGTGATCTTGTTTTTGACCCTCTAAATACAGTGTCCCCCTTTGGCCAATCACTATAATTTTCTACGTGCTGGATTGCAATGGCGTGATGAATTTCCCCTCAAGATTCACCTAAATCTGATTACTGGCGCCCGAGGTATCACATGTGTTTAATGAACAAACAAACGATCAAATGAGCAGACACCAATCCACACTACTCACCATGAAAAAACCAATACTGCATGAGATAAGGTAAACTTCAAAGCAATGCAAGTCTACTAAGACCTCACCCAGACATGAAAAACTAAAAATCCCTGAAATGTTCAGATCATTAAACGGACGCATACATGGAAAGAGAACCGAAAAATGCACCTACAGTGGAGACGCAATACCATTTCTACCATTCTACTACACTATGAATTACTGTTTATGACTTGATACTGGTTATGTTTTAGCAGCGACTATCTTGTTACCCAGCTCTCCAGCAGCCTTGATGTCGATGTTGTCGTAGCCGCTGCCGATGCGGATGATGATGCGTAGAGCTTTGAACTTTTCCAGGTCCTCTCTGGTCAGGGTTATGGTGTGGTACATCATGGCCCCCACTGCCTCATTGAGCACCTGCAGACACACACATTAATAAAATGTTGACTGAATTAAAGTCCTTTTTTTCTCAATTACAGCATTTCATTCATTAATCTGCTTTTTTGTTGTTGCTATTGTGCATTCATTCATGCAACATGGCTATTAGTCCATTTGAGTTCATAAGAACTCATGACAATCACAAGATCACATTCCTTCCAGAGGATCCGTTAAAACCACGTCTGCCATGACTTCGGACGCTTAAGAAAACATTTAAGATTTCACAGAGAGGGGGAACTACAGACATCACATGGTCACCAGGAGCATTGACACAGACCTCCTTTTACAGACGTGCTGAAGTGGAACAAGTCATTATATTGTGTCAGAGGGGCTGCATGGTCATCACAATTGCACCCAGACCCCGAGGGTGTTTATGGACAAAGGATCTGGGCAGTTGACTGGACAGAGAGGTCAAGGCAGCTGCTGATCGCAAGATAAACCTTAAAGTATGATAGCATGTGGTAGGGGTCAAGGAAATAAAGACTAAAAATTAACCTTTTACATCTGGCAGTGAAAAGTATCTTGAGTGAGATCAAGACCAGGATCAAGACACACCTATTCACAAAAAAGAAACATTATCATTTTATTAGGTCTTTACTCGCTACAGCGATTACATGTCTATCCGCCCTGGAAGAGGGTATCTTCACATTTTTCCGTATGTAAATGAATGAGGGTCTAAGAGTTAATAATGTGATCGATTGTATGGATTGTAAAACTCACTAAATGATGAAAATAAACTAAATAAATCCAACGTCACTTGAGCAAGCTTTAGATGTATTGCGGCTACAAGTTGGCAAAGTGAGGACCTGAAAGTGTTTCTCCAAGCCAAATGCGTGATCTCAGCACTGCCTCAATAATGTCAGCCACCATAAAATGTAGCCGAAACAAGAAACAGCACGCAATTCTGTTTTAAATTGAATTCATATCCAACTAATCCAATCTGTTTAGGCAGAAATGGACCCGGACAAATCAAGTAATCTCGAGAAGAAAGCACTCCTACATGTCAAAGTTCAGGAATGATTTGCTACAACATACAGTGCTTTATAAATAACCACATGGTGGAACTGTTGAATCCGAAGCAGTACAGATCAAAATCACTTGTTCTTCACTTCAGGACATAACTTTCCTCTAAATTTAATCCAAATCTTACTGGGTTTTTTTTTAGATTTCTTTCTAAAAAAAACAATCAAAAGAAAAAACCCTCTTAGTGTAGAAAATCACAAGATGTACTTGAGTCAAATATTCGCCTCAGGGATAGAAAAGAAAAAATGTCTGAATTCAGTCACCTCGGGGGGTGGGCATCACTGTGAAACGCTAATCCTCTGCCACTTGACATGGACAAGGTGACCTGGCCTATGATTCAGTCTGATGTGGATCTAAACTATTCCCCTTCAGTATCAGCCACGGCCCCTGTCAGCACCTAAATAATAGCTCTCCAGCCAAACTGCATTAGCTTTCCTGTGATTAGCAGATTAGCTCTGAATTTCCATACTGCTTTTATTAGCGTCCTGGGCAGGCTTTCCAGATACTAGTTCAAGGTTAAAAGGCACACATTAAAAAAACGCAAACACACACACACTCACACACTCTTTTTCTCTCCCTCTGGGCTGAGCCTGAAGGTCTAGTGCTGTTTTATTGTGAGCGATGCAACTTTTTTTGAAATCTACTAATGTAGCTGACTTTAATGGAAACTCTGACCTAATCTACATCCCTCCCACCATTGTAACCAAAGCCTTCTTGCTTTTAATGTCTATCATTTTTGATGCCTGGGCTTTTCTTACACATCAGCCAGGCCTCCCCTGTTTGGCCTTGAAAAGTTGTTTCACCTTGGTGATATGCGTAGCCTACTGTACAGTTTGTGTGCGTGTGTTTGACTCCATGGCTTACTGGTGAGGGATTGTATGGCTATGAGGTCACCCCACTAGTGAGCTGAATGAATGTAGTTGGGGAATGAGACGTGGTTGTAATGCTGAGAACAGACTTTCTCCACCTGGCAGGGAAGATGTGCTCTTCAAAATGTAGCTTTTTGTTTTTATTCCATTTTTTTTTACCATTTAGCACTTCTTAAAGCCATGATAACAGCCTTAAACAATACATAAAAAAACATTACGCACAATAATGTGGAGTATGTTGTAAAGAAAAAGCCATGATCTTTTATTGATTGCTACTTTTATATCCACTTCAGCAGTGGTGAAGTGAGTAAAAGGAAAAAAAAGATTCTTTGTGTGAATGAGGCTAACACAGCAAAGTAAAGCTTAAATAATAAAAACAGCTGTATACTTTAGGGAATATAAGAATTGTTTGACATGTTGTAAAATACACTTATTTGCTTTATTACTGTAGAGAGTTAGATGAGATTGAGACCACTCTCATGCAAGTAGAATAAACACTGGCAGCCACTTAGCTAGCTTAGAATACAGACTGGAAACATGGGGGAAACAGCTAGCCTGTCCAAAGATAAAAAAATATCTAATTTTAAACCAATAAAAGTCACTAATTAACACATTATAACTATTTTTAATCACGTGCAGTGTAAAATGAAAGGTTGTGCTTTTAACACAGGGTTATGGGCCAGAAACAGTCACTAAGGTCATAGCCAGTTTCCAGTCGACATGCTAACTTAAGCTAACCGGCTGCTTACGGTTGCTTCATATTTACCATACGAGCTAGCATCAAGTCTCAGTGAGAAAGCGAATAAGCATATATTTTCCACAATTATTTTAACCAGTTAGCTCATGTTAGCTCAACAACAGAAAGTTTATCAAGAATTTTGAATATCAAATAATAGTTTAAAGCAAAAATGCCATTTATTCATTCCTGTTTTTTAAAATGTGAGAATTTGCTGCTATTCTGTTTTATATACACTTGGAAATTGACTGGGTTGTTTGGATAAAACGAGCAATTTAAAGTCTTTCTTTTTTTTTTACATTTTATAGACCAAAGAAAACATCAATAGATCATTTGCTTACATAAACTAGCTGCAACTCTGCTCTTAAAACCACAATTGGACAGTCAAGCAGTGTACAATGTAAAAGACCAATGTTGAATCTATGCCATATGGGCTATCATCCAACTTTTACAACCCACATGTGACTGTGAGAAAGACTAGGGATCATCGACCTTGGTCGATGATGTTGGAGCGCAGGTGCTGTGTGCAGGATTCGGTCTCACTGAAGTGGTATTGTAACTTGATCTTGATCAGCATTCGCCCATGTGTTTCATCATGCCCCTATCACCCGAGAAATAAGGGATTACCGGGTGGAAGACCCGACATAACCTCGGACCACTTTTATATACCACCCTTGACAAGCCTTTCCCATGAGTTTCTATATTTTTTGGTGTGGATGGAGGAGAGTGTAGCAGCTGGTGTCTGGCATGACAACATCATACTGAAACTGAGTTATCAGCGCTGCATCTCTGCATCCATGCCCCAGAAAGAAGAGATTGGACATTTTCAATCTACACCACCCCTCTGGGTATCTAGACTGCAAGTTATTACTGCGAAATGCTGAATATGCTGGTGAGGTGAACATTACAATCATGTTTCTCCTGATAAGGCAGTGTTAAAACAAACAAAAAGCTCCCCGCTCCCCCCTTCTCTTCACCGCCCAAGGTCTTTGATTGAATTGATCTCTATGCAAATGCTTGGTTTTTAATATGTCCCATTTTCATAAAAACAGCGAGAGGAAAGATGTAGCGGCTCTCACTCTGTCTGCAGATGGAGAGATAGCACTTCGGTGATACCCATCTCCATGGCCATATATTGTTTTGCAGCCACGGCGCTGCATAAAAAGCAATAAAGAGCCTCTACAAGCCAATGTAATTACACTGCATCCCCGCCATACAAGACTCTCTATTAGAACAATGGCACTGATATAGGCATTGCACTCAGTGCCACAAAGTGACATTAAATCATAATGAAGCCACTATATTTTAACTGGCAAGTGCGTATGGAGCTAATATAACACACTTCACATATCAGCATTGTGATAGGAAAATAAAGAGGCAGGCATGAGTGAGTGGCAGGCTCCATCTCTAGCAACTTTTTGCTGCTCTGATGTGAGCAAAAGTGAAGTGAGGTGCAAGCGTGTGTGTGTGTGGTTGTGAGCGTTTTCTACCTTCTCGTGTATCTCCTGTGTGGACTGAGCGTCGCAGAAGGCGACAGTAGCCAAGTCTTTCAGGATGGGCATCTCCACAGTGCAGTCGCGCCCATCCAGCAGCGCCACCAGGGGGCGTGGATGCATTGGCCCGTTCATGATTTGGGGCCGAATACCTGTAGACAGATGGAGAAGGGATGGACGATTATTTTAGGTACAAGAGAAAACTTTTTCATTAATGTCTCAGCACTAAGGTTTTGACTCTTACCACCCATAAAGGGTTCGTTATCTTGGACCTTTAAGGCTGTAAAGGGTTAGTTCACCCTAATTACAAAAAAAGCATATTATTATATTTTACCCCTAGATGTGTCTAACCATGCCGATAGTTTCATTTTAATTTCCTGAGATTCTGAGATTTAATTTATGGTGCACTGGTGCTAAAAGCATTAAAAAAGGCGGCCTCTGTATTTAAAAAAAAAAAAAATATATAAAAAAAATACACATGCAGCCTACTGTCAAATGT